AAATTATTTCTCGTTTCATGTTTATACGCAATCAATCCGGCACTTTTTTTCTAACGGTGATACAAACCAAGCTGTCTGATGTGTTATCAGGTTTTGTAGTATCGACTTGCTATGTGCGCTATGGACCGTTGTCGGGTTTTCTGAGAGGTAGTATCTACATGTCGTTTTCTTTTCGTACGTTTTTGCTTCGAGTATCTGTCATCAATATCGCGCAAAAGGTTGAAGCAGGACCTCTCGAATATTCTGATGACTACACCCAAATACCGGTCCTTATACACTGGAGTCTCATGACAAGACGTACTAAACGTGTTATAATAATTGGGGTTGTGGGGATATTTATACAGCGTGTAGTTAGTCGGCCATTTCAAAGTTGCGACGAGTCACTCGCTGTAGATGGGCAATTTAGCCAGCGTAGTAAAACCGCTAGCCTGGGGTCTTTAACGTGCACCACTCAGTAGTGATACACGATCACACGCCGGTACGATGCTCATCCGGATCGAAACGGGCACGGGTGGGGATTGAACCCAGGATTCCTAAGATCTGCAGCGCGAGCTTTCGCTCCACGTGCTCCGAGCTGGTGTGCGCTTGTGCACACGGCCACCAATCCCCCCTAGACGTGTTAAAAAAGAATTGGTTCAGCCAGGGGTCGAAGCATTATTTTTTTAAATAGTACAGTGAAACACTGTCACTAAAGACATTTTTAAAGAAAAAGGGAATGAACATTTACTGGACGGTTAACTGTACGTTATGCAAACAACCGGATACTATTGAACACGTTTTTTTTTTTTTTTATTGCAGGGATGTTTTTTTTTTTAGTTGGGACGTGCTCCAGCAAACCATTAAAATGGAACTCATGTTGTGACCGCATTGCGTCCGGTTTTGAACGGTTGACAGTTTACCGGTGCCATACGATAATCATGCTCTTGGGGCTCCATAGTATATGGAAAAGTATGATGGCGGTGCGTCATGCGGACGCAGGCCCTCGCACCTTTCGTGAATACTTTACTGAAAAGGATGAAACGGATTCGAGAATGTAAAAAGGTGATAAATATTGGCTTGTATTTGTTGCCAGTATTGGACTAAATGGCCACTTCAAAGTTCTTTTGACCTCACTCATCGTGGCTCTCAACCAAAAGACTAGTTGTGAGTCATTTCAACATAACGTGTACTTGTCGTTTGATGCGATAATATCGTCATTGTATTTATCTCGCCAGCGTTCATCTGATGTACGGCATAGCATTGCAAACTGGAAATAAAAAAAAAAAGTATCTGGGTGGCCCAGTCGGTAGGGCGTCTGACTCGCAACCGAAGGTTCGAGGATTCGAATCCCGCCTCCGCCTGAAGTTCTTCAAATTTTACGTTTCAGGCAAATGGATTACTGTAAAACCCTTAATGTTCGCGAGCACTTAACTTTAGCGAATTTTGCGAATTGAAAATTTTGCGAAATTCAAGGGCACTCGAAAATTTTGTTCCTTGAGGGTTTTAACGCAGGCGTCTGGAATTCGTGAAATATAATGGCCGCGATTATGTCTCTTTGACCGATTCGCGGAAATAAAGGATTTTGCAGTAATTTATACATTTGAGTCAATTGAGACATGTGGCGATCTTTAATTCGCATTACCTGTCATGTTTTATTCACTTTCATTCCACACGTGACGTCACGTTTCACGTGAGCGTTGTGGGTTGTTTGACATTCCCGCGCGATGTCATATGACTGTGACGTCATTACCATATCGACCAATGAGGATTTTCGAGGCTTTTCTAGGGCGCCACCGGCTTTTCTGGCACACCATCGAGGGCGCGCGACACGAGCTCCATAAAGCTAATACCCTGTCACAAGACTACCCAGTCAATATTTTACTAGTCACGTACATTTTTAATAAAGTAAAAAAACAAACAAAAACGGAACTGCTCGAAACCGAAGTTGAAACTGAACTGGGGAGGAAGAAGAAATATAGAGGGGAGAGTTGCTGGAAGTCACGTGGCTACACCCGACCGCGTTTTTTTTTTTTTTTTTCGTTTTCTTTTTTTGTTGGTGAGAAGCCGACGAGAAACTCGAACATATCATGTCGCACGAAAAGCGCAAAAGTCAAGCACTTTTGCTTGACGTTTGCGACTATTTAAAGCTCTTACCAGTTTGTGTTCGTAAGACGACCGATGTCTTAGGCCAGGAGAAGGGGCGACGACTCAGCGACGTCTTTGTGCGAATCAACTTGGTCGGGCGTTTCGTACGGAATAAACCCGCTATTTTGATGGGCAAACGATTTCTCTTTTGAAGCTAGACAGATTTGCCGGTACCGCGAGCAACAGTTCTGAAGTAGAGGTCCCCCCCTCGTCGTCCGACGCCATCGCCTACCTCGCTTCGTTCAGCCGTCCAGCACGCGACTTCCGCGATACGACGCCATGTTGAGAATTACGCAAAGAAGACACAACTTTTTGTAAACTTTTTTTATCAGCGCATTTGAAGTCACAAAAAAAAATGAGTATCATATTTTTTATATTTTTAATATTGAGTGTGTGCCCTCGATGACCCTCGACTTCGATTATATTCTGTGTATGTGTCTAAGCCATAAGGAACGGCACGTACGTGACCACGAAAAAGAAACTGAGCTCGACTCAAACCGGCCAGTTCTCGATCAGCAGTTTTCGGGCGGAACAGAATCGAATTTCGAGCTGCAAATTGTGTTCGGGGTAGTTGAGCTCTCATATGTCATGTACAAATAAAAACCTTGGCGATCATAATTACCCTGTCAGTGTCCCTTTAAAAACCCCAGGTTAACCGTCGTGCGTACTGCACTGACTAAAATTGTATCTACGTCGGAGGCAGCATAACCATTTCAGGGCATGCTAAATGTAACTCTCCATACATCAAACTGGCAAAGCTTGAGTTACCTTCCTTTTGCAGGGGAATACCCATCCGCATCCTCGCGATGTAAGCTCCAAATTGTACAGTTTTATTTTTAGTATTGGGTGACTCAATATTATGATTTTTGAAAACGCTGGTTTCTGTGGGATTATCTTTACGCGTCTTATTATTAATAAAAAATCGCCACTTCAAATTTGTTAGAAAGGCACCAATCTAACCGTTCGCGCCATGCCCATACTTTCAGAGTAATAATGAATCCTTCAAGAATGCCGATTTCTGCCATTCCAAAGAAACACAAAACGCCTGCTGAAGGACACCAGATTTTGCACTTCCCCATTTTGGCTACCAGGGTACTACAATGCTCTATTAACCAAATATGTTGCATCGTCTCGCCTTTTCGGGATTGTTCGAGGAGTCACCGTGACGTCCGGAAGAGAGTTCGTTCACTTGCGGCTCTGTCTATGGTTTCGTCCTACCACAGGTGGCCAAAACGTCAACGCTGCTTGCAGCCATGTAAGGTTTGAGTAACTCTTTCGAAACCAGTGTTGCGCTCATCATAATCGACTGGTCTCTAAAGAGAATGTCCGCGAACCAACGGTACCAATAAAAATCGTTTTGGGTTGTTAGAAATCTGGTTGTACTACGGCGGGGAGCAGAACTGGCTCATTGTTAAGCGCCGTTTACACACATGCAGCCGAGTAAGACCGAGAGAGTCAAGACCGGGTTTTAAGCCTCTTGCGACGGCGGAGGACGGGATGCGCTGCTGCGGAGCAGGTCCTGTGCCATCGCAAGAGGCTTAAAAACCGGTCTTGTCTTTCTTCGTCCTACCCGGTTGCAAGCGCGTGTGAACGGCGCTTTAACGTAATGAGGCTAGTCATTTTATATTCTAACGCGGTTACTTTTGAACATTAAACCATGCCGGCCTCTACCTTTCCTTGTTCTTCTCACACCCCTTGACTTGTGAATTGTTTGCTGCAAAAGAGGACAAAAAAAAAAGACCGCATTTCCACGCGGTGAATGATGTTGATTGGGGCGAAGCATGGTGGTGCTGATGACACTGATTTTGTTCATAGGTAGTGCTGATGGTTTTGATTTCTTTTTATTGCTCATAGGTAGTGCTGAGTTCCGGGTTGCGTTGGTATGGAACGTGGTTATATACGCATTTGAGCATTTGACCGCAGCGCCCTCTCGTCAATAAACGTTGAGCCAACGCCTGCAAAGTTTAACGCAATTATATACGCATTTGACCGCAGCGCCCTCTCCTGTATAGACGTTGAGCGGCTACATGCAACGTTTCATCCATGACATCCCCAGCTCTTGAGTTACTACCACATCTCAGAGTCCCCTGCTCGTCCCGCAATAGTGGCCGAGTGGTTAAGGCGATGGACTAGAAACCCATTGGGGTCTCCCCGTACAGGTTCGAATCCTGTCGAGTGCGCAAACATTCCTTTTCTTTTTTTTTTAAAAAAGGCAGATAATATGATGAGTTATGTGAACACGGACGCCGGACGGTCAAGCCTAGACCCTAAGGAGCTTCGCCTCTAAAACATTCGTGAGTCAACTTTTATCGCATGTGTGCCCAGCAGAACACCCTCGTCCAGTCTTCTGCGCATAGACGGCGTGCAGGAACGCCGAATCCGCAGCTGAAAGCATGCAAGAGACTTCCGGTCTTTGACTTGGGAATATATTAATATGTATTCACGTCTTATGTACACACACTACTCTCTTTGATGTGACTCCAAATAGTCCCCTCGAGGCCGGTGTCAGGAGGGACAACAGAGGAAAAAAAAATCACACAAGGAAACCCTCCAGGGCAGACAGAGTCCGTGCCAATGGTCGGTAGGAAATCTCCTGGGCAGGCAGGATCCGTGTCATTGGTCGAAGACCCTTAGACGGAGTCCGTGCCAATGGTAGAAAGGAACCGTTATGGGCAGACAGGGTCCGCACCATGGGTCGGTAGGAACCCTCCTGGGCAGATAGAACCCGTGCCAACGGGCAAAGGAGCTCTCAGACAAAGTCTGTGCAAATGTTCGAAGGGAACCCTTCTGAGCAGACAGGGTCCGCGCCAGTGGTCGAAAAGGACCCTTCTGAACAGACAGAGTCGGTACGAACGGTCGACACTGTGCACCGGTTCTCAGAAGTTGGCCGACGAAGGCGTGCTGTCCATGTCTTCGAGCCACGAGGCCGGACTGGGCGGGAACTCCCCGTAGGTGTCGTCTCCGCGTCCCGGGAACTGCTCTCCGGAAAGGCCGAAGTGCGGCCCCATCTGGGCGCCGGGGCTGGCAGGGAAGTAGGACGAAGCCCCGCTGTGGCCCGAGTGCTGGCCCGGCGAGTGGGAGGCCTCCGGGTCGCTGCCGGTCATGCCGAACGGCTCAGAGTCCTCTGAGGCCGCCGGCAAAAGAGACACCACGCGCGGTGGAGGACTTTGTTAGTGTCGCGGCAAAACGGGTTTATCCGATATCGCAGAAAACGCTTACCCGTCCTCTAGGAATTCAAAAATTATTCTAGAGAAAGAGCAAAATGGTATCGTATGAGCTTTCTGCACTCTGTATGTAGAGCTCGAGAAGCCGCATTTTCGAATCATTCATAACAATCGCCAATTGTGCCCGCTACGCCCTAAGCACCACTGAAATGGCCGCACCTCCAAGAAAATCTAGAATTGGAGATACGATGTTCTAAGCGTGACTTGTTTAGTGACTCCGGTCAGTGTTAAGCAACAAAGGCTTTACTAGGCAATTCGTTTATGAACAGGGCGATTAATTTGATTGTGCCTTCAATATATTGGGACATCGAGTCACTAAAAAGATCTTCGCTTAGAGAGCATCAGGACTTCCTTCCCCTACTGTATTGTGGGCGCCGCCATTCTGATGCTGAGTGAGGAGCTGGCGCCAGTGACGATAGTCACGATTCGAAAATGCGACTTCTCGAGCTTTCGATGCGGTGTTGGGAAGCTCAGGCGATATTGCTTTGCTCTTTCGCGGACTTTTTAGCATTTCTGGAGGACGAAAGAGTGTTTCGTGCGATTCCAAAGAGAGCTTTGGGTAACTGACAATAATGAGTTTGAGCACTAAGATGTTCAAAACGTTGAGAATGGTTTTAAACACTATGATGTTGAAAATAATTTTCTATGCTAGGTGGCGGAAGGTACGCCGGCCGTTATAAAGGGTACAGCCGTTTGCATTCATCTATCCATCTATCCGATGGCGGAAGTGTTGTCACTTTGACGCGCAGCTTATCTAGTGGCTGTATTGACGCGTTCATCAGTCACTTCACCGAGCACGTTGCACTATCTCCCAATGTGGAGCATAAGAGGGTACAAGTCTTGTTCATAATCTTTGCCTGTGCGATTACATTAAATTCAATGAATAAATAAATTGTTTATTTAAAGTTGGGTAATTAATTGAGAAAAAGCTTATTTTATCACTGTGTGAGGTCATTTTGCTATAAAAATGTGATGAGCGCTGCTTCTTTACTTAGGTCCATAAAATGGTAGTAGATTATGAAAGTCTGCTGATGATCAATGTCCTATGTTATATTGATGTCAAAATAAATAGCACTAGACCAAAGTGTTGGTTATATTTGACTTTGTTTTACTCTGAACTTACGCATATTTAATTACACGTGGTGAAATATATAAAAGGTAGAACACGTGGAGATTCATGACTGAGGCGCGGAGGCATTCTCATCATCGCAGTTAACTGTGTCACAAGCCAAGACCTCTCTTGTTGCGGTCACCTGTAGGCAGTCGACTTTGTCGTGAATCTGGAAATCTGTTCTTGGGGGGGGGGGGGGGGGGGAGGGGGGGGGGGTGCTAATCTTGGGGATAGGATCGATCCCCAAGATAATTACGCAACATAGCTTAGCACGTTGAGTAATGAACACAATTTGTTGTTTGAAGATGTGCACTTTAGTTGAACGGTGGGAGAGTTTATATTTAAGGGCCTGAAGGCTTTTAGCGCCGACGACATAAAACATCTGCTCAATGGCCTCGCGGCAGACCTTCTGTGGCACACGTTTTCCACCACAGTATTAATTTCTCTCAGCAAGAAGTAGAAATGGTCTAGAGTGAGCACCAGCGTGGTACCGGTGACGTCAAGCGCAAGCCATGCATACCTGGATGGTCCTTGATATCCCGCTTGATACTCGCGCCGGACGAAGACCGGAAAAAGTCTCCCCAGCGCGTCTTGCCGGCGTCCTTCTTGAGACGCTTTTCTTTGGCGCGTCTGTTCTGGAACCAGACCTGGACGACGCGCATGTCCAGGCCCGTGTCCTGGGACAGCTGCTCTCGCACGTGCCTGGCCGGCTTGGGACTGTTGTTGTAGGCGCTCTTGAGCGTCTCCAGCTGTTTAGCCGTGATGGTGGTCCGCGGTCGCTTGGTGGAACCCTCGCGCGCTTTGGCGGCCTCGTAGTCCGCCTTGCAGACAAGTTTATTGTCCTCCATGAGGTAGAACTCGTCGCCCGTGTTCAGCTGTCGCTTGCACAGGATGCAGGCGAAGCAGTGCAGATGGTACACGTTGTCCTGCGCGCGACGAACCACTTGCGTCGGCGGAATGCCGAGCTCGCAGCCCGCGCACTTCGTCCCGTAGCGCCTGTGGGGGGAGAAACCAGTAACGACTCAATTAGGGGCACAGCTGAAGCAAATATGCAGTGGGTCTGTACTCCGTTTTACCTGGGGTGCTATCCTGCATGGTCATAAACGTGAACGTTTGAGTTTCAGTATTACACCTCCCCATGAGAACCGCGCGCTCCCCTTCGGCCAGATTGCATGTGATAATTTGAAGCTGCTGCCATGGGGACGCTCGCAAAAGACGAAATCACCCGTTTGCCGTAACAGTCCATTTCTGAGTTTGGGTCGTGACGAGAAAGTGACGCATGACTACGTATGATCTACGCGGCACATAGCAGAAGTCGCGTAACTGGATTAACTCCAGAATTGCACTGTTTCACCCTAAGTGCGAGCTACTGCGAGTGTAGGAGGTACACGAACGTGCTCCGGGCTTCCCTTTTGAGCTGGCGCGCATGCGCAGTGCAAGCATCGTTCGGGGTCATGTGCTCGTGCTTGTAGCTCCTGCTTCGATCACACGAACAGGATCTAGGCACGATTGTGGAACGTAAAGAAATGAAGGCAATGCTCGTTGTGCAACGATGGTTCAACCAACGAGCGCAACGACGGGTTTTTCGCGAGCACGCAGTTCCCTTCGCAATGCTCGACGACTGCTTACGCATATTTATTCGTCGCGCAGCTGTGTGACCAGCTGCGCGACGAGAGACGGCGACCATTCGCAACTTTCACATGATTTCAAATGGTTGTCATATAAATGATCGTCGTTTAACAGCCGTACGAGGTTGGGTCTGCGACCCATAAGTAATTCTAATTTTCTAAAACACGAGCGATGTAAGAGCCTAACCTCATTATTCGACGTCAGGATAGTGTAGGCAAGCTACTTAATTCTAAAGCCTATCATCCAGGAGCTAGGGATCGCAATTCTCACACCGCGGTCCCCACTATCGCTTAAAGTTGCGAATAATCACCGTCGAGCAGCAGCTATTAATCGCGCTCCGATTTTTCGCAACGGAGAATTGCAAGGGCATGGCCACCACCGATGAGCAAATCGCTAATGTCTAGTCGATGGTAAGCAGAGCCGTGACGGACGTCATTTCTGTCGTAAAGTCAACCGGCTGGGAAGAGACAGCTTGGTCGACTTCCCCGAATCAAGGCAACCAAGGCAGCTGCGAAAGAAGGCTTCCGTCGCCACCATGACAAGCTCACCGACGTCGTGGGGTGCGTTGACTATACCTAGAGTTAACTGAAACTTCGTTAGCATCATCGATCTGAAGGAGATCGTCCTACATTTTGCCGCGAAGACCACCTGGCCATTAACATCATTGCGGTAAACTAACGTTAAAATTTGTGTTTATACCACTTGGTAGTTCGTGCACGCTTAGTGCCTAAGCCTAGAATCGCCCATTTGTTGCGCTTTGTAACTACTGTCATTCACGCAGTAAAGTCTGAATGGGTTGTTGATGGCATTTTTCTGCATTAATTAGATATTTGACCTATTCACGCCAAGCTTCTGCAGTTGTATGCCACTCATCGGGCAGGGTAAAAAACATTCAGTCAACTGAACAGGTGTGTTTAAAAATGAGTCGTTAGTTCTTTAAACAGCACGAGTTCAGTCTCCCAGAGAATGGCCACATAGTTGCCCACTGTAGACGAGAAATTTAACCACAGCAGTAAAAATGTTAGCCCAGAGACTTTCACGTGTGTCGCGCAGTGGTGATACACTACCGCACATCGATACGATGCTCATCCAGTTATAAACGGGCTGGAGGTGGTATTAAACCCCTGGTGGGTCCAACGATTTTGGTAAACTATTGTAAACTGAACCGGGCGTCTATGTTGACGAGGATGAAGGTTATCAGTCATCCCTGTGGATGATTGTTGTCTTCGTGACCAAGGAAAAAACTAAAATATAGGGTGAGTCAAAGGGATTGATGGGTGTTTGAAGGGACGGCACAAATTTGTTTCTGAATGTATCAAGCTAAAATTGTGCACAGAGGTGGTCGCCGACCGTGTATAAGAATATAACATTTTCTTTGAGCAAACTTACCTGACTTTACGGTCACACATATTTTTTCAGTGATGACGAAAGTATGACTTATGGGGACTGTCGTCATAATTACTTTAGATAAAGAGGGCAACAAGCCTACCGGTGCACTTTGAACCGAACTCACAACCTGTGGATTATCATCAGCGAGTCATTTTCAGCGCGCTACCTATTGAGAGACCTAATCGCAGTCACCACGGCAAGCAGGACACTTCATTCACGGCTTGTGTTCAGGGTGGTATCGCATTTGAGGCTTCACGAAAGATGATCGGTGTCGCGACGAACCGTTACACACTACAATTTCTTTTCATAACCACATCAACATCCTCGAAAACAAAAGTACCGACGACGCAAACAAGGCGTCAACACAAAATCGACAACATCATTTCCGCTGCTTCCAGCATGTTTGTTATGGAAGACTGTAGGACAAAACAAGTTGAGATATTTTAGCTTAATTTACTTTCGTTGGGGGATCGGTGACTGAGTGGGCTAGCGCACATTAGCTCTGGACACGAAAGATTGCGCTGCAGAACCCAGGAATCCTGGGTTCAATTCCAAACCCTGCCCGTTTCGATCTAGATGAGCATCGTACCCGCGCGCGGGCATGTATCACTGTACTGCGTGATACACGGTAAAGACCCCAGGCTAGCGCTTGTGATGCACCACCTTAATTTCTGAACCACTCCTAAGAGACCAGACGTCCAATAGAGTTTGAACGCTCCCCCCCCCCCCCCCCCCCTTTTCCGAAAAAAAAATCAAGCCGACATTATCCTTTCATTTACACATCCATTTCAACCCCCTTCCCAACTCCCTGGACCCAAAGTCATAAACATACCAGCTACCTGACCCCCCCCCCCCCACCCCTTCCCCCCTCGTCTTTTACACGTGCACGCACAAAAAATATTCATGGTTACGCCACTGGTATCAATAGCCCTCAACGGTTAGTCAACAATATCAGAATAAGGCAAAGAACCTTTATATAGGAGACTATATAGGCAGTGTTACAGTAGCTTTACAAACATGGATGCAAAACACAATTCCACACACTCAATTTCGAAACGAAACGCGCTAGTTCTTTAAAGCGCTGGCCTTACACTTATATTGCGTTTAACCATAGCCTCCTCTAAGCTAACAAAGCCTGGTACTTTGTCGACAGAGCCATAGAGTGCCCGGTCGCAGATTTAGAGCGCGAGTATCTGGTTGCACAGAACATTTCTCGGGGAGTCCGCGGTAGTGAGCGCAGAGCTTTTGAGCAGGAAAGATCCGAAACACACTGTTCCCTCGGGAGAAACCGATGCGACTGGCTGTTGATGTCGAGGCTATGGTGATTGCGGTCGCCGGGGCCTGTGGCTTCGGCGGCAGCAATTAAAATGTTCAGTAAAATGTCCTTTAACGAATTTTTATTTTCGTACTCATCCTGGTTTCGTTTTCCCTTCCCGGCATGGAAACATTTTGTACTATTGAAAATCATTCGGGAGAAAACCTTTTTGGTCTTCCTAAATAAGGGAACCCGAAAACGTCCTCCAGACGTCTTTTAAAAGATCAGACTGTCCCGACCAGTTCCGGACGTCCCGACGACATCTTCGTCGGGACGAAGACGTCTTAACCAGCTGAGGACGTCCTCAGGACCATCTGCGTTGTCTGGGCAGTTGTGTGCCCTACGGCGCATGGACCGCCGAAAACTCCAAGCAGGGGATAGTCTTTGGTTTTATTTTGTTTTGGTTCTGGGGAGCCGCGGCACCGCGGAAAGGCAGCAGCCAGTACCATGGAGGCCCGCGGTGCCGCGTCTCGTGAATATGATAATGTGATGTGATGAGAAAATTTACACGCTCTTTTTCACCGCAAAAATAAACTAGGCATCGCCGAACGCTCAGTCTCCGCCCAAAGGTAGAGCTAGAGGTCACAACCAGATGCCAAAGTTTCAGCCCGATCCGATAACTCAATCAAAAGTTATGAGTGATTTTCTGAAAATTTCAATGGGAAAATGGAGCCCATTTTCGCCCGTTTTCGGTTTCTGGTGCCATAGAGCCCCATGTGTTTGAAAACGCCGTCGGCCGCCATTTTCCCATTGAAAATTTCAGAAAATCACTTATAACTTTTGATTAAGTTATCGGATCGGGCTGAAACTTTGGCATCTGATTGTGACCTCTAGCTCTACCTTTGGGCGGAGAATGAGCGTTCGGCGACGCCTAGTTTATTTTTGCGGTAAAAAAGAGCGTGTAAATTTTCATTTGTGACACCCTATATATACATGCTTGATGACGACGACATAGGTTGTTGGTATTGGGGAGGATGGCAGTCCGATTCGCAGAAGTCCAGATTTCGTGGAGGCGGGCTGGGCGGGTCAGCAGCGAGCCATGGGGTTCTGGCACGCCATTCGATCAGTGCAGGGAGAAGCCCGAGGAACGTGATGGCGCTGTTGCTAACTGAGGTCCACTGGGGTCGAAGCATCGGGCTCCAAGGAGGTAGCCCAGTCAAAACAGAAGCTGCCGCCTCCGACGAACCGAGGCCCAGGGCTCAGATTGAGGCACCGCCGTCGCCAGGTGTGTCATTCTCTCAACGTCCTCGTCGTCATCTTGCGTACTGACCTTTCGACACTGTTCCCATGTATTAATGGCTGTAATCTCTAATCAATCAGCCCTGCAGTTTGCCGCACAATTTTGAGCGCGAACGAAGTAGACAAAACAGAAACAGTGAAATGGGGAAGGGGTGGCGCTTTATGTATATCCCCGCCAACAGGACAAAAAAAAATAGTATAGTGTGTTTCGGCGTCTCGTCGCAGCGGGGCGCCCGTTACATGACTCTTTTCTTATCCGTTGCTTGCCGCTCTACCTTTTCACTTTCGGCGGCCGCGTCACGTGACTATCTGCCAGGCTTTGTCAGTATAGAGGAGGCTGTGGTTTAACAGGGTCCGCCTCTGTCGTCTAACTGATTAGCAATCCATGCCACACAAATCTCAGTAAACTCATCGTATGGCTCTT